ATGGTTGGTTGAACACAATCGCTACATATGTAATCCTGAGCTCACTGACATGCATATAGTAAATGAGGAAACTACTTACAAGTGGTATAATAGTTGGGTTGAGTGACTGCATGGTTGGTTGAACACAATCGCTACATATGTAATCCTGAGCTCACTGACATGCACATAGTAAATGAGGAAACTACTTACAAGTGGTATAATAGTTGGGTTGAGTGACTGCATGGTTGGCTGAACACAATCGCTACATATGTAATCCTGAGCTCACTGACATGCACATAGTAAATGAGGAAACTACTTACAAGTTGTATAATAGTTGGGTTGAGTGACTGCATGGTTGGTTGAACACAATCGCTACATATGTAATCCTGAGCTCACTGACATGCACGTAGTAAATGAGGAAACTACTTACAAGTGGTATAATAGTGCGGTTGAGTGACTGCATGGTTGGTTGAACACAATCGCTTCATATGTAATCCTGAGCTCACTGACATGCACACAGTAAATGAGGAAACTACTTACAAGTGGTATAATAGTTGGGTTGAGTGACTGCGTGGTTGGTTGAACACAATCGCTACATATGTAATCCTGAGCTTTCTGACATGCACATAGTAAATGAGGAAACTACTTACAAGTGGTATAATAGTTGGTTGAGTGACTGCATGGTTGGTTGAACACAATCGCTACATATGTAATCTTGAGCTCACTGACATGCACATAGTAAATGAGGAAACTACTTACAAGTGGTATAATAGTTGGTTGAGTGACTGCATGGTTGGTTGAACACAATCGCTACATATGTAATCCTGAGCTCACTGACATGCACACAGTAAATGAGGAAACTACTTACAAGTGGTATAATAGTTGGGTTGAGTGACTGCATGGTTGGTTGAACACAATCGCTACATATGTAATCCTGAGCTCACTGACATGCACATAGTAAATGAGGAAACTACTTACAAGTGGTATAATAGTTGGTTGAGTGACTGCATGGTTGGTTGAACACAATCGCTACATATGTAATCCTGAGCTCACTGACATGCACATAGTAAATGAGGAAACTACTTACAAGTGGTATAATAGTTTGTTGAGTGACTGCATGGTTGGTTGAACACAATCGCTACATATGTAATCCTGAGCTCACTGACATGCACACAGTAAATGAGGAAACTACTTACAAGTGGTATAATAGTTGGGTTGAGTGACTGCATGGTTGGTTGAACACAATCGCTACATATGTATCCTGAGCTAACTGACATGCACATAGTAAATGAGGAAACTACTTACAAGTCGTATAATAGTTGGGTTGAGTGACTGCATGGTTGGTTGAACACAATCGCTACATATGTAATCCTGAGCTCACTGACATGCACATAGTAAATGAGGAAACTACTTACAAGTGGTATAATAGTTGGGTTGAGTGACTGCATGGTTGGTTGAACACAGTCGCTACATATGTAATCCTGAGCTCACTGACATGCACATAGTAAATGAGGAAACTACTTACAAGTCGTATAATAGTTGGGTTGAGTGACTGCATGGTTGGTTGAACACAATCGCTACATATGTATCCTGAGCTAACTGACATGCACATAGTAAATGAGGAAACTACTTACAAGTCGTATAATAGTTGGGTTGAGTGACTGCATGGTTGGTTGAACACAATCGCTACATATGTAATCCTGAGCTCACTGACATGCACATAGTAAATGAGGAAACTACTTACAAGTGGTATAATAGTTGGGTTGAGTGACTGCATGGTTGGTTGAACACAGTCGCTACATATGTATCCTGAGCTAACTGACATGCACATAGTAAATGAGGAAACTACTTACAAGTCGTATAATAGTTGGGTTGAGTGACTGCATGGTTGGTTGAACACAGTCACTACATATGTAATCCTGAGCTCACTGACATGCACATAGTAAATGAGGAAACTACTTACAAGTCGTATAATAGTTGGGTTGAGTGACTGCATGGTTGGTTGAACACAGTCGCTACATATGTATCCTGAGCTAACTGACATGCACATAGTAAATGAGGAAACTACTTACAAGTCGTATAATAGTTGGGTTGAGTGACTGCATGGTTGGTTGAACACAGTCGCTACATATGTAATCCTGAGCTCACTGACATGCACATAGTAAATGAGGAAACTACTTACAAGTCGTATAATAGTTGGGTTGAGTGACTGCATGGTTGGTTGAACACAATCGCTACATATGTATCCTGAGCTAACTGACATGCACATAGTAAATGAGGAAACTACTTACAAGTCGTATAATAGTTGGGTTGAGTGACTGCATGGTTGGTTGAACACAATCGCTACATATGTAATCCTGAGCTCACTGACATGCACATAGTAAATGAGGAAACTACTTACAAGTGGTATAATAGTTGGGTTGAGTGACTGCATGGTTGGTTGAACACAGTCGCTACATATGTATCCTGAGCTAACTGACATGCACATAGTAAATGAGGAAACTACTTACAAGTCGTATAATAGTTGGGTTGAGTGACTGCATGGTTGGTTGAACACAGTCGCTACATATGTAATCCTGAGCTCACTGACATGCACATAGTAAATGAGGAAACTACTTACAAGTCGTATAATAGTTGGGTTGAGTGACTGCATGGTTGGTTGAACACAGTCGCTACATATGTATCCTGAGCTAACTGACATGCACATAGTAAATGAGGAAACTACTTACAAGTCGTATAATAGTTGGGTTGAGTGACTGCATGGTTGGTTGAACACAGTCGCTACATATGTAATCCTGAGCTCACTGACATGCACATAGTAAATGAGGAAACTACTTACAAGTCGTATAATAGTTGGGTTGAGTGACTGCATGGTTGGTTGAACACAATCGCTACATATGTATCCTGAGCTAACTGACATGCACATAGTAAATGAGGAAACTACTTACAAGTCGTATAATAGTTGGGTTGAGTGACTGCATGGTTGGTTGAACACAATCGCTACATATGTAATCCTGAGCTCACTGACATGCACATAGTAAATGAGGAAACTACTTACAAGTGGTATAATAGTTGGGTTGAGTGACTGCATGGTTGGTTGAACACAATCGCTACATATGTAATCCTGAGCTCACTGACATGCACATAGTAAATGAGGAAACTACTTACAAGTGGTATAATAGTTGGGTTGAGTGACTGCATGGTTGGTTGAACACAGTCGCTACATATGTATCCTGAGCTAACTGACATGCACATAGTAAATGAGGAAACTACTTACAAGTCGTATAATAGTTGGGTTGAGTGACTGCAAGGTTGGCTGAACACAATCGCTACTTATTTATTTATTTATATCAACGGTCAAACCAATGCAGAAATATGACAAAACGTTCCCAAAGGTTTTATCTACTAATGTAATTCTCAGCTTACTGACATGCACAATGCGCATATTACAGGGAAAACTACATGTTTGTATTGAGTAATGGAAATACTACCAAATGGTGCGTTTGAAGTTACGTTTTAGTAGCAATATTATTCCTGTGTCTAATGTTCCAGCTTGAATTATAAAAGGTTAATCTTATTCTGAAGGGTTCGGTTACCGTCGCGCCCTGAATAAGTAATTAGTGGTTGTATTATGTCCAACTTTTCACAAGCCTCAAATCTCACAAGTTGAAACTTAGCAAAACTTCATAATTAAGCAGTGAGCTGCGGGAATATTAATTACCCCTACAAATACATTCCAAACTGGTTATAACTTTGATCAAGAGTGAGGCAGCAAAAACTCTTTACTGATAGATTCAACTATTTCAAGATATAATTTTTGTCCTCCTTAATTAAATAACCTTACTACGAAAATCCGGAATATCTATTTTCATTGCTCAGTGAGGAAAAGGTCTTCCAGCCTTTAACAATCTTCATTTGAAATTATTGTGAAGGCAAAAACATGGCAACTAAGCTAACAAATTACCAACTAATATTAAAAATTAAAAATTAAATGAATAAAAAAAAATTAAAACAAATCCTTACTGAAGGTCCGAATTATTCTATTGAAGACTTTAATGGGAAATTCATCCAAATTAAAATGAAATTATAAATAGTTTAATTTAATATTAAACCTAAGTTAAAAATTAATGAATTGTACTGTCGATACAATGTATATTGTCAAGACAATAACAAGAGTTAAATAAAGTATTTATTTATTTATTTCAGCTTTTGTAATTAAAGGTATCAAATCAGGAGTTTGGGTTAAATGAATTAAAACATTTAGAGGAGCACAATTTTTGACAAGAAAGAACGTTAAATTATACACAATTGCGTGATTACTAAGCTATTGTACTTATAGGGTGTTATAATAAATATTTTACTGCATTTTATACTCTTTTAGCGAATTTCCCTATAGGGAAGTATCTATTACCGTAGGTCTCATGGTAAGACCTAGGTCAGGGACCGATTTACTTTTTCATTTTGATGCCCCAGAGGCCAAAACACCATCCGTTCAAAATATTATATATGTATAACTTATACTACACCTAAAGTGATATACCTAAAGTGTTACTAATAAATACAAGCACTTGTAACTTGTATAACTGTTTATTCATAACTGGAGAGTCAATATTATTGTATGAACAATGTAAAAAAATAATTAACATATGGATTAATACAAGAAGTACAGAAGCAAAATATCTAACAGTGGTCTCCCCCTAAACTTTCGTATGCAACATTTGATCGATGTGGCGTCTCCAAATTTGTCCATCGTCCATCTTGATAAAATAGTGAAAGTGACCGTCTCTTTGGACATTTCCGTAATTCCACTTACAATTTCCGGAATAGTTCCGTGCTTGTACTCGTTCACCTGGGTTGAAATATCTCACTATTCCTTTGGGTTGTTTAGTTTCTTCCTTTGTCTTAGGTAAGAGTAAACTTAAGTATGTGCGGATCCTTCTATTGAACATCAAGAAGTATGAGCTGTTGCCAGTTGAATTCGGAGCTTGACGTATTTTCATCAGCAGTTGGTGAAGCTTTTCTTAAAGTGTACCAGATTCATCTGACATACAGTTGATTAATTTCTTTATCGTTTGTACGAAGCGTTCGACTTGGCCGTTCGAAGAAGGATGGTAAGGAGCTGTCTTTTTGTGCAAAGTTCCACATTTCTTCAAAAAGTTACTAAATTCAGAAGAGGTGAACTGACGACCATTATCAGAGACTATAACACTTGGTAGTCCAAAGGTGGTGAATATTTTACGCAGCTCTCTGATTGTCCATGAAGATGTAATACTCTTCGTAGGTATGACTTCAACCCACTTGCTGAATGCGTCTACTACCAACAGAAAGTATTTTCCGTTGGTTGGCCCAGCAAAATCTATGTGGACCCGCTCCCATGGTTCACTTGCTGGCTCCCAAGGATGGTTAATTTCTTTCTTCGGTAAATTTTGTTTTTCCCTGCACTGTCTGTATTTTGAAATATTATCTTCTATATCTTTGTCCAAAACTTTCCAGTAGCAAAAGCTCCGTGCTAAGGCTTTGGTTTTTACCATACCCAAATGACCAAAATGTAGTTCTTCGAGGACATGTTTTTGTAAAGATCTAGGAATCATCACCCTCCAACCTTTCATGATACAACCATCATGTAGACATAGCTCACCATTATGATAACCATAGTTCTCCAAGGATTTTCCAGTTTCCAAAGCTAGTAACAAGTGTTGCATGTTTTCATATTTTTTTGTTTCTTGAGCAATTAGGTTATGGTTAAGGTTGATCGTTGCAATTTGGTTCATATAGAAAACATCAGTCTGGTCCATGCTGGCATTTGAATGTTTTTCAATTGGAAACCTTGAAAGGAAGTCCGCATTTCCATGATCATTTGTTCGTCTAAATTCTATTCTGTAGTCAAAACCTGATAAGAAGTGTGAATAGTTAAAAAGTCGTGTAGCTGACATAGAAGGAAGGTTTTTATCAGGATTGAATATTGTAACTAACGGTTTGTGATCCGTTACTAGGATGAATTTACGTCCATAGCAATATTGGAAGAACTTTTTTAGTCCCCAATAAATTCCAGTGGCCTCTTTGTCAATTTGGCTATATTTCTCTTCTGGTTTTGTCAATGTTCTTGAAGCGAAGGCTATAGGTCTTTCACTTCCATCTGGAAATCTATGTGACAGTACTGCGCCAAGTCCCACCGGAGATGCATCTGTTGCCAATACCAAAGGTAAGACTGGATCAAAATGAGTAAGGACAATTTCATTTGTAATGATCTCCTTGACCTTCTGAAAGCTTTGTTCACATTGATCTGTCCACTTGTATTTCTTCTCCTTTTTCAGTAGTCCATGTAACGGATTGAGAATCGTTGCCAGGTTCTCGATAAATCTGTTATAATAGTTGACAAGACCTAAGAAGGTTCTTAGTTCACTAACATTCTGGGGTCTTCTTGCTTGCCTGATAGCCTTAACTTTATCTTCTGATTTGTGGATTCCGTGGGCATCTATAGTGTGACCTAAGTACTCAATTTGTTTGTGTAGAAACTTGCATTTATCTCTATTTACTCTTAGTCCGTTCATTTTTTTTCTCTGAAGTACCATTTCCAACCGAGTGAGCAACTCTTCTTCTGATTTTCCTTGGATGATTATGCCATCGAAGAAACATTGAGTGCCTTCTATACCCAATAAGACCTTGTCCATGATTCTTTGCCAAATTCCAGGAGCTACTTTAACGCCGAACATGAGTCTATTAACTCTGAACTGTCCCTTATGTGTACTTAAGGTTTGTATGTCAGCACTTGCTTCATCCATTTGTAGGTGTAAGTAAGCCTTTTTTAAGTCCAGATTACAGAAAATCTTGCCACCGCTCATATTTGCAAAAATATCTTCAATTCTCGGTATTGGATAGTGTTCGTCTTGAATTTGTCTGTTCACCGTAACCTTATAATCAGCACATATTCTAATTTCACCATTGGGTTTCATTACTGGTACTATGGGTGTTCCCCATTCAGGATTTTCCGTCTTTGTTATTATTCCTGCAGTTTCTAAGCGTTCTAGTTCCTCTTCTACCTTTTGTTTCAAGGAATAAGGTATTGGCCTTGCTTTCATAAATATTGGTCGAGCGTCAGGTGCCAGTTGTAAGTGGCCTAGTTGATCAGGTATTTGGCCTATATCTGGCTCGAAAACATCCTTGTATTTGTTTAGAAGTTCATCTAAACGTCCTCCAGTTTCTTGTTTGATTGTTTTTACTTCTTTCCAGTCCAACTCTACTTCCCGTAGCCAGTCTCGACCGAAAATAGGATCCAAGTGACCGTCTACAATATAGAGTTTACCCATAAAACTCTGGCTTTTGTATGAACATTGAACAAACACAACGCCTTTGGGCTTGAATAATTCACCTGTATACGTTTTAAGTCGTAGCTGTGTATTGAAAAGTCTTCTGTTCGTATTAAGTTTCTTGAACATATTATATGGTAACGTGCTGATGGCTGAACCTGTATCCAGCTCCATCTGGACTGGATTCCCTTCTAGCAAAATATCAATAAGTATTTTATCACTACTGCTATTGTTCAATTTGTAAATTTCATGAGTTTCTTCTTGATAACTATCGTTTCCATCTTCTTCAGTCTGGTGAACTTTTGTTTGCTTTGCTTGCATACAGACACTGGCAATGTGACCCTGCTTTTTGCATTTGTGACACGTTTCAGAAGCAAACTTGCAGTTGTTGGCTCTATGGTCCCGTGAACCACAGCGGTAGCACCTTCCTTTCATTTTGTCAAAGGGTGAAGGCTGAGATTTCTTAGGTATATAGTTCGATTTTTTGTTTCCAATCATGTGAACAGTATTGTTTGTAAAATCCGTTGATGTTTTGACCAGAGAACTTTCGTCTTTGGCTAGTTCCATTGCTGTTGCCAATTTAACAACGTCTTGAAATGATTTAGTTGTTTTTTCTTGTAGTATCCTTGCTCTAACATCAGCATCCTTAATTCATCTGATGAACTGCATGCGTAAAAGTGTGTTGGCTATGGTTTTCCCACAATTCTCACATGAAAAATCACAATCTGTTGTTAATTTTTGGAGTTCAGCAGAATACATTTTCACCGATTCTGATGGGTCCTGTACTCTTGATAAAAACCTATACTACAGTGCCCATGTACTCGGCTGAGGGTCAACATAATCTGATAGTAACTTTACCAGATCTGAGTAGGTCTTATCCAGAGGGTTCTCAGGCGCACACAAATCATACAATTTCTGATGTAGGGTAGGAGACAAGGCGTGAAGAAGGGTGTAAACCTTGTCCCTGGGCTGTAGTCCGTGTCCATGTAAATGCATAAAAATCTCTAAGCGCCTGATGAAGTTCTTGAACGTTTCATCGTCTTGAAAAGGAGTGAATGATATAGCCGAAGTAAGAGAACGGTACATATGATTACTTCTGTTGGTCGTACTACCTTGTTGCAGATCTTTTTCTAGTTCTATTTGTGTTTTTCTAATTTGTAACTGATCTTTTACTTTGTAATATCGTTCTTCCATGTCAACTCTGTATCTAACTTCTTCATCAACATCTTCTTCCTTTGACTTCAATTCTATCTTCTCTTCATCAACATCTTCTTCCTTTGACTTCAATTCTATCTTCAGTTGAACCGCCTCAAATCTTTTCCAGTTTTCTTCTAATAAATCCATTCTGTTTTGTAAGACTTCTGTTGGTATGGTGGATACATCATCTAAAAGTCTGTCTGCCTTTGTAATCTGGCCTTTTACAATAGCCCGTACTTTCTTCAAATCTGTTATTGAATCAATGTTATGTAATATTTCCATTATGTAGTTGACTAGTACAGATATGAACAATTAAAATAGGTAATTAAATAATAAAATGTAAAAAATTGAAGGTAATAAAGTGTAGTTTCTTTTTTTTATCCTCGTCGCCAATTAATAAATACAAGCACTTGTAACTTGTATAATTGTTTATTCATAACTGGAGAGTCAATATTATTGTATGAACAATGTAAAAAAATAATTAACATATGGATTAATACAAGAAGTACAGAAGCAAAATATCTAACAGTTACAATAGGTAACTTGCTAGAAGAAGATAACTAGGGGGTGTTCGCAGAGGCATCCACAAAATTCAGTGGATCCATCAGGGCTTGATCATTAGAAGACGTTGGGGAAATACTTTTGCACCTCTAGAGTGGTATCGTTGCGGTAATGGTGTTCCCTCAAGAGGAAGAGTGACGCTATACACTCTAGAGGTGCAAAAGTATATCCCCAACGTCTTCTAATGATCAAGCCCTGATGGATCCGCTCAATTTTGTGGTGCCTCTGTGAACGCCCCCTAGTTATCTTCTTCTAAAGTAAATGCACAGCTACGTAGGGGTGAAAGTTTTCAGGTATCACGTTACAAGATCTGAAAGATAATACAACTTTATCATTAAGACTAGAGCTAGGGGTGTATTGTTTACCATCAATCATAAACCTATCCAATAATATATTATTCTCTTTAGCACCTGAAAAAGCTAAGCATTCCTTTTAATTACTAGTAGGCTTAATTTTTTTAATTTTTAGCGAATTTCCCATATAGGGAATACGCTATTACAGTAGTACTCATGGTAAGACCTGGATCCGGGACCGATTTAATTTTTCATATTGAGGTCCCTAGAGGCCAAAAACACCATCCGTTCAAATTCATATATATATATATATATATATATTTATATATTCTTGAGGAGATCTTGATAGAGTTTATGATGAATGAAACATGAAACATTGCAAATTTTCGTTTAATACAAATGTTTTCAAGCAAAGAGAAATTAATGAAACATGTAAAGATGAACAAAACAAATAAATATGAACTATTTACAAATAGTTGAATTTTGAGAACATATCTTTAATTAATTCTCTTTGCTTGAAAACGTTCGTATTAAACGAAAATGTATATATATATATATATATATATATTTATATATATATGTATATATAGGTATACTAGTGGGCCTTAAGTTGATACTTGTCTTAAATCTTACCTACTCTTGTTGATACTCAGTCTAAAGTTGATACTATCAACATTGGAGCACTCTGGTATCAACATTTCAGTTATATATTCACTTGTAAATCTATATAAATGCACTGCTAATGTTGATACTGTCGTATAACCTAAAAATCGGTCGTGGCGGACTTTGGTGTATATTCCCAGCATTTTGAGGTTATGTTATGTGGCTGTGCTCTACATAAATGCACTGCTAATGTTGATACCATCGTATCACCTAAAAACCGGTCTGTTAGTAGCCTATTGGTGTAGATGCGTGGACTTTGGTGCATATTCCCAGCATTTTGAGGTTATGTTGTGTGGCTGAGCTCTATAAATGCACTGCTAATGTTGATACCATCGTATAACCAAAAAACTGGTCTGTTAATAGCTTATCGGTGTAGATTCGCGGACTTTGGTGGATATTCCAAGCATTTTGAGGTTATGTTATGTGGCTTAGCTCTACATAAATGCACTGCTAATGTTGATACCGTCGTACAACCTAAAAACCGGTCTGTTAATAGCGTAGTGGTATAGAGTGGCGGACTTTGGTACATATTCCCGGCATTTTGAGGTTATGTTATGTGGCTGAGCTCTATATAAATGCACTGCTAATGTTGATACCATCGTATAACCTAAAAACTGGTCTGTTAATAGCTTATCGGTGTAGATTCACGGACTTTGGGGCATGTTTCCAGCATTTTTAGGTTATGTTATGTGGCTTAGCTCTACATAAATGCACTGCTAATGTTGATACCGTCGTACAACCTAAAAACCGGTCTGTTAATAGCTTATCGGTGTAGATTCGCGGACTTTGGTGCATATTCCCTGCATTTTAGGTTATGTTATGTGGCTGAGCTCTATATAAATGCACTGCTAATGTTGATACCATCGTATAACCTAAAAACTGGTCTGTTAATAGCTTATCGGTGTAGATTCGCGGACTTTGGTGGACATTCCTAGCATTTTGAGGTTATGTTATGTGGCTTAGCTCTACATAAATGCACTGCTAATGTTGATACCATCGTATAACCTAAAAACCGGTCTGTTAATAGCGTAGTGGTATAGAGTGGCGGACTTTGGTGCATATTCCCTACATTTCGAGGTTATGTTATGTGGCTGAGCTCTATATAAATGCATTGCTAATGTTGATACCATCGTATAACCTAAAAACTGGTCTGTTAATAGCTTATCGGTGTAGATTCGCGGGCTTTGGTGCATATTTCCATTATTTTGAGATTATGTTATGTGGCTGAGCTATAGATAATTGCACTGCTAATGTTGATACCGTCGCATAACCTAAAAATCTGTCTTGTTAGTAGCCTATTGGTGTAGAGTGGCGGCCTTTGGTGCATATTCCCAGCATTTTGAGGTTATGTTATGTGGCTTAGCTCTATATAAATGCACTGCTAATGTTGATACTTTCGTATAACCTAAAAATCGGTCTGTTAATAGCCTAGTTGAGTAGAGTGACGGCCTTTGGTGCATATTCCCAGCATTTTGAGGTTATGTTATGTGGCTTAGCTCTACATAACTGCACTGCTAATGTTGATTCCGTCGTACAACCTAAAAACCGGTCTGTTAATAGCGTAGTGGTATAGAGTGGCGGACTTTGGTACATATTCCCGGCATTTTGAGGTTATGTTATGTGGCTTAGCTCTACATAAATGCACTGCTAATGTTGATACCGTCGTACATCCTAAAAACCGGTCTGTTAATAGCCTAGTTGTGTAGATTGGCGGACTTTGGTGCATATTCCCTGCATTTGAGGTTATGTTATGTGGCTGAGCTCTATATAAATGCACTGCTAATGTTGATACCATCGTATAACCTAAAAACTGGTCTGTTAATAGCTTATCGGTGTAGATTCGCGGACTTTGGTGGACATTCCTAGCATTTTGAGGTTATGTTATGTGGCTTAGCTCTACATAAATGCACTGCTAATGTTGATACCGTCGTACAACCTAAAAACCGGCCTGTTAATAGCGTAGTGGTATAGAGTGGCGGACTTTGGTGCATATTCCCTACATTTCGAGGTTATGTTATGTGGCTGAGCTCTATATAAATGCAATGCTAATGTTGATACCATCGTATAACCTAAAAACTGGTCTGTTAATAGCTTATCGGTGTAGATTCGCGGACTTTGGTGCATATTTCCAGCATTTTGAGATTATGTTATGTGACTGAGCTATAGATAATTGCACTGCTAATGTTGATACCGTCGCATAACCTAAAAATCTGTCTTGTTAGTAGCCTATTGGTGTAGAGTGGCGGCCTTTGGTGCATATTCCCAGCATTTTGAGGTTATGTTATGTGGCTTAGCTCTATATAAATGCACTGCTAATGTTGATACTGTCGTATAACCTAAAAATCGGTCTGTTAATAGCCTAGTTGAGTAGAGTGGCGGACTTTGGTGCATATTCCCAGCATTTTGGTGCATATTCCCAGCATTTGAGGTTATGTTATGTGGCTGAGCTCTATATAAATGCACTGCTAATGTTGATACTGTCGTATAACCTAAATCCGGTCTGTTAGCCTAGTTGTGTAGAGTGGCGGACTTTGGTGCATATTCCCAGCATTTGAGGTTATGTTATGTGGCTGAGCTCTATATAAATGCACTGCTTGTGTTGATACTGTCGTATAACCTAAAAATCGGTCCGTTACCAGCCTAGTAATGTAGATTTTCAATCCTATTGTATGAATAGAAGCTTGATTTTAATGTCATTGACATAGAGCGCCAGCAGGCAGTGACCACAGAATTAAAATAGAACGGGCACGCCAAACGGTAGAGTGAAGTGAAGCCTGTTTCCAATGCTTCGCACCTAACCAACATTGTATGCCACTGTGACGAGTCACCCAATACGGTGCGCGCACCTAACTG